CTGGTTTCTTGCCACAAAAAAGCAGCACACAAATTCATGGTAATGGTACATCCCAGTGCAGCTGTCGGATCGAGTATGGACAGTTATGCTTACCTCATACAACTTATCTGCTTTTTCTAATTCATCCCATTTTTCTGCGATTGCCGAAATGTACTTTTCTGCCGCGGGAACATATGGGGCGCGATTGCTCAGACGTAAACGCGTTTGAAGAGTGTTATAAGTTGTCTCAAGTTTTGCTTTGTCATGCAATCGTGCCGGCTTTTCCTGGCGACGGTAGACACGAGAGTCTGCCTGCAGTTGTTCGATGGCCGCCACAGTTTGCCTCGGCTCCCGAAGCTGAAAGAACGGTGATGGTATAATATTGGCAAAGAAAAATGATCAACGTCGATGAGTCATACAAAGCATCTAAGAATTCGATTAAAAATGATATGATACAGCAGAATACCCAAGCTATTGAGACATCAGGTAACCCTACAAATCAGATGCATACCAACGGGTTAAGAAATTCTAACTTTATAAACACTAAGCACACGATTGTGCTTAGCAAAGCTGGAATCAGCGTAAAACAGTCAACCGACTAATTAAGCAACAAACAGAATGGCATTCAGAGTACGGTCAACCAAACAATGCGCCTTTTTGGATCAGATTGACGTTCCACAAAATTTGAATTTGAGTTTTTACGCTAGAACCAATTTTTCGTGACCTGGATAACTGTTTTGTCTTCATCTCGGACATCAAGACATTCCCCCAGAAGACAGCAAATGGAAACATTAACACCAAGAAAACATTTCCTCTCAGTGCTGAGGCCCTAACCACTTTTAACTTAAGAAACCGGAACCGTTACTTTCACAACAACACAAAGTACAACCAGCTTACCTATTAGATACTTTCTACTGGGTGTGTAAGCCTCTAACCGAGTCATACCCCGGAGACTAGTGCTGAGATGAACTAAGCGTGATGCCCGCAACAAGCTCGCAAAGATGGGTTGAGCTATACCGCGCAATTGTTCTGATGATTTGAACAGAGGTAGAGTGGGTAGCAGGCTTGCGTTCTGCCGTGAGAACTGGTGGGCAACAATAGCTAGTGAAATGGAAGTAGCAGCTGCATCACGGAATAGTCAAAGACTGTTCCGACTGATACGCAATACGGGAGGTCGGCGAACCCCAGGTAGTGAAACAGTCTGCGATAAGAGGGGACGAACTATTCACAATAGGGATCAACGACTCGATCGCTGGGAAGAATACTTCAACGAACAGTTCAGCTGGCCTAGTGCGAATCAGGCTGCTTCATCTCCGACTGAAG